CTTTTTTTTTTTTTTTTTTTTTTTTTTTTTTTTGCTCTTTGGTGAGGCAGTCGGGGTTAAGTGACTTGCGGAGGGTCACACAGCTAGTAAGTGTCATGTATCTGAGGCTGAATTTGAATTCAGGTCCTCCTGACTCCAGGGCCAGTGCTCTGTCCACTGTGCCTCCTAGCTGCCCCTGGATGCTATATTCTTTAGGTGGCCTTTGCTGATCATACATCTCCCATCCCTGTGCCTTTGTACTGACTTTCTCCTTTTCCTTATCTCTGCCTCATCTCTGCAGCTCAAGCACCATTTTCTGCATGAGTCTTCCCTTGATTTCTCTCCCTCCTAACCCCAGTGATGGTGCCTTCCTCTAGAATAGCCTTATATTTAAATATTTTCAATGTGTTTTTTTTTAACTTAATAGTCATGCTATATATACATATGGAGGGGGGCAGCTAGGTGGCACCATAATGCATAAAGTGCCAGGCCTGGAGTCAGGAAGACTCATCTTCTTGGGTTCTAATCTGGCCTCAGACACTTACTATCAGACCCTGGGCAAGTCACTTAACCCTGTTTGCCTCTATTTCCTCATTTATAAAAGGAGCTAGAGAAGAAAATGACAAACTGCTTCAGTATCTTTTCCAAGAAAATCCCAAATGGAGTCACAAAGAGTCAGACAGGATTGAAACAACTGAACAGCAACAAGTGTGTGTGTGTGTGTGTGTGTGTGTGTGTGTGTGTGTGTGTAGGGATTGTTTTACTCTTTATACTTCTATCCCCAGAGGCTAAAACAGTGGTTAGCATATAGTAAACAACTGATAAATACTCATGATTGATTATTGATTGGTTATCCTAGTTGTATAGCGCTCTATACTTGAACCCTAATTTCTCAGTATTCTGTATATATTTATCTATTTGTTATTTTTATCCCCACTAGAATGGAAGTTCCGTAAAGGCAGGAATGATTTAATTTTTATCTTTGTAACTTTAGTGTCTGGCATAGTTTATAACATTTAGTAGATGCTTAATAAGTGCTTGTTGGCTTGAATTTAGGGAATTGAACTTTTTTTTTTAATGACCAAAAGATTCTCCCGTAAGCAAAGGCCCATCTTTTTATCACCCGTATTCTTGTGGTGCTGTCATGTAATGATAATTCATGGAATACCACCATTTCTGAGGAATAAATGCTGAGGGTCAGTCAAAAGGCAGTTGAGAGATCGGGAGCATGAGTGGGGTCTGACATATTTACAAATGAGGAATCACACAAGAGAAGTGATGTGAAGGATGTTGTCGGAGACATATTTGACTGACAAAAAGGATGACGTGGTCATGTAAGGAGAACAAAACATGAACAATCAGTCAATAGACAAGCATTTTTGAATTTTACTTATGTGACCAAGCATTGTAGGCCAAAAAGAAAAAAAATCACTGACTGGTAAAAATGCTTGGAGTTGGGAGAGGGAGCATCAGGTGTGAAGAACAGCTGGATTCAGAGAGGGTGGAGACCCTGCTTTGTGCTAGGCCCTGTGCTAAGTGATGGGGATACAAAGACAGACAAAAAATAGTCCCTGTCCTCAAACAGCTCATAGTTTAATGGGGGAAAAGAACAGGCAAACAACTATGAACAAACAGTATATAGCAGGGTAAAATGGAAGTAATCTCTGAGGCAAGGCCCTCAGGTTAAGGATACCTGGGAAAGACTTCTTAAATACACCAAGGAGGCTACTGTCCGTAAGTGGGAGGGAGATTAGCAAGGAAAAGGAAGGGACTGGGGCAATGAAGACCCTTAAAAGCCAAACAGAGGATTTTATATGTGATCCTTGAGGTAATAGGGGACCACTGGAATTTATGGAGAAAAGGTATGCGTTAGACCAATGTTTTAGGAAGATCAGTTTGATAGCTGAGTGGAGGGTGGGGACAGGAGTGGGGAGAGACTTGAGGCAGAGACCAACCAGCAGGTAGTAGTCCACTGGGGAGGTGAGGAAGACCTGTACCAGGGTGTTTACAGTGTCAGGAGAGAAGGGGATGTATATGACAGAAGTTATGAAGGTTAAAATGGGAAGATTTGATAAGTGCTTGGATATGTGGGGCAAGAGAGAGTGAGAAGTTGAGGGTGATCCTAGCTTGTGAGTCTGGGTGATTGGGAGGATGGGAGAGGTACCCTCAATGATGGAGAAGAGGGGAGAGTTTGGAGAAAAGATTTCACTTTTGGACATACAGAGTTTAAAATGTCAGCAGTACTTCTAGTTTGAGATGTCTGAAAGACAGTTGGAGGTGTGTCTGGACGTTGGGAAAGGATATTGCTGACCAAATATGAATAGGAGGAGGGGAGGGCTTTGGGGGAAAATTATTTCAGTTTTGGACATGTTGAACATAAGATGTGAACAGGACATCTAGTCTGAGATGTCTGATAGGCAGTTGGGAATGTGAGAGCGAAGTTTGAGAAAGGATATGGCTGAACAAGTAGATTTGAAAGTCTTCTGCATAGAGATGGCAGCTGAATCCAGAGGACCTGATCACCAAGTGAAATGGAATAAAGGGAAAAGGGAAGAGGGAAGAGGTTTCCAAACAAGAACTCTTGGTTGTATTTTAATCTCTCTTGGACCCCAAAACAGGAACAGTTTGTTGTATTTTTATCTCCCTTAGACCCTCGTGATAATCACCAAACCATTGAACAATCAGTTAAGGAATTCCATGTTTGTTTGTTTGTTTTTTTTCTATTAGATAAATTACTTATTTTGGGAGTAAGTTAAAAGACTTAATAAAAAATGGTGGTACTAGAGTATATTCTATACTACATGAGCTACACTGACCACAGTATATAGGGCATGGTGTCTTGTTAGTAGTATTGTACTATGAGTGTTTATAGTTTCCGATATAAATGTTAAGCGCATTTTTGGGCTGTGGTAAGTTTTAATTAGTTATAGAGTTGAAGGAAGTAAAACCCTTATACTAATTTTAAATATCACTTTTACTCATAAGGATGATGTTGTGATGGGCACTCTCACAGTAAGAGAAAATTTACAGTTCTCAGCAGCACTTCGACTGCCTACAAGCATGAGGAACCATGAAAAGAATGAACGGATTAACAGAATTCTGAAGGAGCTCGGTTTGGAGAAAGTAGCTAATTCCAAGGTAATGTGTAAAAGCTGATAGTTTGAAATCAATCAGTACCGAATGTTACTTGATCTATAGAGTTACATTCTTTATATCTAGAAGTTTTATGGCGTAAAGTAGATCATTTTCATAAATAACTTATTCTAATCCATAAAATGCCTAGTTATTACATAATATTAAAATTTTAATTAACCTGCAGTGCTATAATAACAGTGATTATAATTCAATTTGTATAATACTTTAAGGTTCACAAAGTATTTTCCTCATATCAACCTTGGCATGTAGGTGGAACAAATTTATCTTCATTTTTCAAATAAGAAAACTAGAGTACAGAAAGGTTAAATAATGGTAATTATAGTTAACATTCATGTAGTGCTTACTATATGCCAACTACTGTGCTAAGTGCTTTACAAATATTATCTCATTTGATCCTCACAGTAGCCTTGGGAGGAAGGTGCAGATAAGGAAACTGAGGCAGAGGTCAAGTGACTTGCCAAGGGCCACATAGCTTGACATGTCAAAGACTAGGATTTGCCAGTCCTCTTTACTTAAAAAAAATTGTTCAACATTGGAGGTTTGAGAGAGGCAATATCTAAAGTATCGATTCTTATTGTATTCATTTGTTTTGTGGAGGAAGGGTAGACCAAGGTCGAGAGTCCTCTCTTTTGTCATGGAACTGCAGTTCACAGATTCTGTATCATTTAAAAAATATATTGTTTTTTCTCATCCTCCAGTCAATTTTACTTGCTTTGCTCCTTTTCTCTTTCTCCCCATTATTGATGTCTTCTTCCCAAAGACCTAATGTGATATGATAAATAGAAAAGATTGCTAAACTGCATTAGGGGTAATTCTGAACCTCTGTTCAAGGGAATAGATGAATGGACAAGAAATCTCTCATATTGTCTTTATTTGGTCTCCCATGGAAATAGATCCTTGACATTCAAAAGATTAAGTCAGCTCTTTCTTATGTAATTTGCATATTATCCAGGCACTACACTAAAGCCCTATGCAATATAAGATGTCATCGTTACAATTGTTTGTTGTGGTGGCCATTGGCTGTTGCCAATGCCCTCTTCCTTTTAACTATTTTATTGCTTCTTAGTAGATGATTCACGTGGATATACAGCACTCTTTACACTACACCTTGCCACATATCTACGTAACAGGTCAATTACAGTTAGTAGGAAGGAAGGTTTTATTGAAGAGATTAAAATTATAGGTAAAAATGAGGTTTTGGTGTGTCTCAAGTATCCGTGATATCGTCAGTCAAAGTTAGTATAGAGTAGATTTTTATTCATTTTTGTTGAAATACTACTTCATGGGTGGCTTCCTGACTCCGTTGCCTTTTATATCAAATGTCTTAAACTTCAGGTGGCTAGGTGGTGTAGTGGATAGAGCTCCCGCCTTGGAATCAGGAGGACCTAAGTTCAAATCTGATCTTAGACACTTGACACTTCCTAGCTGTGTGACCCTGGGCAAGTCATTTAACCCTGATTGCCTCACCAAAAGAAAGCAAAAAAAAAAAAAGAAGCCCTAAAGCTTAAACTTATGTCTAAGAATGATTTTGTGAATTCTTTTCTCCCTTCTTATCTCTTTGTATTCCTGTATTCTTCTCTCTAAGTCACTCAAAAAATATCTCATGCTTAGAGGTAGGTAATTGGTATAGAGTAAAGCATATGGAATCATAATCCATCTCCTTAAGAAATTTACAGTCTCATAGTCTAGACTAGTGGTCTCCAAACTTTTTTGATTTCCTATTCCTATCTGTAAAAAAGGAGAACATATACCAATAATTGTGTACTTATAGTGCAGTGGATAGAGTGCTGGACCTGGAGTCAGGAAGACTCATCTTCCTGAGTTCAAATCTGGCGTCAGATACTTACTAGCTGTGTGACCCTGGGCAAGTCACTTAACCCTGTTTGCTCCATTTCCTCTTCTGTAAAAGAAGCTAGAGAAGGAAATGGCAGACCATTCTAATTTCTTTGCCAAGAAAATCCCAAATGGGGTCACAAAAAGTTGGGCACAAGTGAAAAATGGACAAACACTTATAAGTTACGAATATCTACTACTATACTAGTAGTTGTGTGCATTATAAACTTAGATAAAAATAGACATTTTAAAAGGATGAGATAAAAAACATTTGAACCTAGAGTGAAGAGAGAACCACTGAAGTCTATTGAATAGGAAAGTGACTTTAGGAAAAACACTTTGGCCACTATGTAGAAGAAGGATTCGTAAGGGGAGGGAATTGAATCAGGGAGAATAATTAGGAGGCCAGAGATGATAGGGGCCTGAAGTAGGCTGTGTGAAGGAGAGAGATGGAGGTGATTGTAGGAGTAGAAATGATTTGACAGCCAGCTGGATGTGGAGTGAGGAAGAGTGAGCCATAGGGGGTGATAGGGAAGTTGTGAGCTTGTTGACTAGAAGATTGAGAAGATGAATTTGTTGGAAAGAATGAGATCTTTGATTGCAGATCGTAATACATTTACGTCTATTCATCCTGAGAAACTCTAGCCCTCCCAAAATGAAAAGAGGCAAAGGCAGAGCTCTTGGTTATCAGCTGCTGCCCAAAGTATAGAGCCTATGTACCAAAGGGACATTTGCAGTCATGGGGTTATCTGAGGGGCAGGGGCTGGGGGAGAATTTTCCTAACGGTACCTGTAGCAGCTGTGGATGTCTGGGTAGCAGTTAGCTGCCCCTGAGGCATCACCTCTCTTTTTCTTCCCACCTTCCCCCCCCCCCCCACCCAGGTAAGAAGAGATTAGAAATCTGCACAGTGGACAAATCCCATGATTGGATCTCATGAGGAGGGTGGGGATGCAGTCCTTCTTCTATTTGGTTGATCACATATCTCTTGGTAGCAGGCACGGCCCCCAACTCTGGACACCTCTAACCTAGACAAGTCACATGAACATGATGAGTTGCAATATCTTAGGATAAAATATGTTGAGAGAAAAGGTTGAGACAGAGATTGAAAATGTTAATTGAAGCCAGGAAAGCTTTGTAGAGAAGGTGGCCATGTGAGATGATTTAAAAGAAGATAAGAATAGACATGGTAGACCACTCTTTTCTTATCTATGAAGGTTATACTTTTCTTTTTAGCCCTCCTCAAGGTACTTCTTATGAATCTGGTAAGCAATAGGGGTTTTCCTTTTCTGTTTCTCCTATCTTTATCTTTCTTTGAGATGGTAATTTTACCAAATTGAGACTGTGTCTTCAGTATTCAAATTTATTGTCAATAAAATTAAAATAACGATTTAGTACAGAACTTACATTTCTGTGGAATTTGCTACTCGCTTGCGTTAGGTGGGAACTCCGTTTTCTCGTGGTGTATCTGGAGGAGAGAGAAAAAGGACCAGCATTGGAATGGAGCTTATTTCTGAGCCATCTATCTTGTTTTTGGATGAGCCCACGACTGGCTTAGACTCCAGCACGGCAAATGCTGTTCTTTTACTGCTAAAGAGGTGAGGACTGAGTAAGGACAGTCCACTGTCCTTCGTGCTGCTGCTCCAAGAACCCTTTGCTAATTCCCACAGTTATCATCGTTCCCTCCCTCAAATTATTTTGTATTTACACGTGTACACAATGAACCACTCCCCACGTAGTATGTCAAGATGTTTTTATTGTTACAACCCTTTGCATATTGCTTGGCACCAGGTAGGTACTTAATAATTACTTGTTATATTAATCTAATTGAATAAAATAGTCAGTTCAGGTAGAGATACTGTCAGAATTTTTCTATTAGACAGTTCTTGCTTTACATAAATTTGCATTATACAAATTAAATTCCGAAGTGGGTGGCAGGACCCCCTTGCACTGGCCCAGGCTCTGGCTCCTGGCTGGCAGCAGCAGGGGTGGTGGCAGTGGTAGGCATGGTGTAGCCCCATGCTATGGGTCCTCTGTTCTAGGCACTGATGCAGCTCCAGGGCCATAGAGAGAGGGAGGAGATCTGCAGAAGGGTCTACTTACATTAAGTGAGAACTCGCTATATATAGGGTTTATTTTAGGGATGTGATTAATATTACTTTGAATGACTAGTCATAAAATAGTAAAAGGCTATGAAATGCTAGGTGAATTTTATGTCTGGACTGGAAATAATCGCAGTTTCAGTCTTCTTTGATGGTATAGAAATTTAATGTAAATTTCTAGGACACTGATTTAGGGTTTACTTTGAACCTTTTTCCTAGGAGGCAGCTGAGCAGAATTTTTTTCTCTAGTGAAGATAAGAGAATAGAAAATTAGTACATTTCAGAATTCAGAAGCTGCCCCAACGTATACATATATCCTGTAAACTTCAAAAGAAAATTGCAGTCATTAAAGATCGTGGGTACAGGGCATTCTTGTAACTGATTTTGCTACTTGATCTAAATGTTAAAAAAAAAAAAATTTGGATACCACCTACTGGTTTCCAGCAAAATTGGAACCCAGTAGCTGGAAGCCATTTTAATGTATTATTTATTAGTTAGATATGCTTCAAAATGAAGAGCAAACATGAACCAGAGGAGAAACTCACAGCAAAGTCCTCTTTGAGGGAGCACATTCTCCATGGGTTCACTGATTCCATTTTCTGTCTTCCATTTAGAATGTCTAAGCAGGGAAGAACAATCATCTTCTCTATACATCAGCCTCGATATTCCATCTTCAAGTTGTTTGACAGTCTGACCTTGCTGGCTTCTGGAAAATTGATTTACCATGGTCCTGCTCAGGAAGCCTTGGAATACTTTGCTTCTTCTGGTACAGTAGATTTTTTTCATGCACTCATGAAAAGAATTGGGCTAGAGGATTAAGGTGCCTTCCAGCTATATAAGGTGCCATCCAGCTATAAACCTCATGTGGTATGGTTCAAATTCTCAGGATCCTAAAAGACAAAACTGGGTAGTGGGGGCTGGTAGTGGTAATAAGCAAACAAAATGAAAAAGCCCAGGTTATCATCCATCAGTGATACGTAACCACTCTGGGTTTGTCTGAAACCCAGTTATCCAGGTAAAATATTACTACTGTTAAGTTGCTGTGTCTTCTTTATCCTCTATTCTGTGTTTCTTCATGATTCCTGTAATTAATCCAGATTCAGCCTATGTAGGAGTAATGAAGGAGACAAAATCATTATTGTACCTTCCATTTCCCTCATGCCAGGACTTACTTTGAATATACAGTAGAATCGTGTCCTAGATTCCATAATTACTGCATAAAATGAAAATCACACAGAATTAACCCTTGAAAGTCTTTCAAAGGAAGAGCCGAGATGGTGTAGTAAAGGAAGCACTACAGCCCAGCTCTCTCCACATTCTCCTTTAAACAGTTTTAAAACCACACCTGGAATTGAGTTCTGGAGCCGCACTGCTAACAGAGGTCACAATGAGATGTTTTGCAGCCGGAGACAACTTAGGAAGTTGGAAGGAGGAGTCTGTGACACTGGGGTGGGGACTGGCCCAGAGCGCATGTGGTAGCAACACCATCTGTAGGCTTGGAGGTGGCTGTGATAGCAGCAGCATTCTGGAACTTCTCAGTCTAGAGACAGGCAGGAGATTGATAACTGGTCAGAAAGAGATTCCATTGGAGCCCTGTGCTAGCACTGGGTGCAGTACCTGGAGCTGTTTGGCAGCTCCATTGCTCACATTCAATTCTGAGTTGCAGTTCCAAGGGGAAGAGGAATGTTTTAGGTCACAAAGGATCCCTGAGGAACAATAGCACTTGTATTTGACAAAGGATCAGGGGCCCTTTGTGGATGAGGACCAGAATACAGACCAGGAAAGCAATGACCTCACTTGTACTCAGATCATACCACCTTGGAAACACCAAAAACTTCCAAACCCCTAGAACTAGCTCTGAAAACAGCAGTGCAAAGAACCTGAAACTTGGGACAGTGCCCCTCTTCTTTTCCCCTCCCTCATCCCCCCTGAATACTAGGAACAGAAGAACAGAAGCTAACTTTAACATAAGGTTCAGATTGAAGAATAGGCTGGAAAAATGAGCAAATAACAACAATAACAACAAACCTGACCATAAAAAGCTACTATGGTGACAGGGAAGAGCAAGACCCAAACTCAGAAGAAAACAGTGTCAAACAGCTACAAGCAAAGCCTCAAAGGAAAAAAAATGCAAATTGGACACAAACCCAACAAGAATACCTAGAAGAGCTAAAGAATGACTTTAAAAAGAAAATAAAAATGGTAGAGGAAAAACTGGAAAAAGAAATAAGAGTGATGCAAGAAAACTGAAAAGACAACTAACAACTTGGTAAAAGAGGCACAAAAAATACTGAAGAAAACATTTTAAAGAACAGAATTGACCAAATGATAAAAGAGTTATGAAACTTCACTGACGAAAATAACTCCTTAAGAAACAGAATCAGCCAAAAGGAAGAAGAGGTGCAAAAGTTCACTGAAGAAAATAATACTTTAAAAATTAGAATTGTCCAAGTGGAAGCTAATGATCCCCCGAAACATCAAGAAACAAACAAAAAAACCCAGAGAATGAAAAAATAGAAGAAAATGTGAAATATCTCATTGGAAAAACAATTGATCTGGAAAACAGATCGAGGAGAGATCATTTAAGAATTGTGGACTGCCTTAAAGTCATGATTGAAAAAAAAACCTAGACATGATATTTCAAGAAATTATAAAGAAAGCCCCTTAAATCATTGATAAAGGACAGTATGGTATCTTTAAACAATTACAGTTTCAGAGGAGTTAGATTCTCTTTAAAAGAAGGAAGGCTACATAACTATTGCTATTGAAATAACTAAACATGTTTAATTGATTGTAAATTTTATTTTTCAGTACACCCAATGAAGTTATTGATGAGGAGAGAAACAGGAGCTAATACTTCCTACTCAAATCAAAGAAAATAGAAACAAAGACTTGTCAGAAAAACTAATGAAGCAAAAAATACTCTTCAAAGGGCTTCACACATAAGTATGATTATATTAGAGGGTGATCACACTATCACAGGACTATTTTTTCTTCTTCCTTGGCCATGAGGGAAAAGGGACCCAAACAAGTCAAAGGGAACATAGTAGGGACTTTTTAACTAAAGTGGAGTGCTAGGAAAACCAACTAAGAGTATCACTCTCATTGGCTCTACCAACCTAAGTGGAATGAATGAATATACTGTGGCTATGATAAAGAGGAAATTCTAGATTCATACCACAGTGAGATGCTTACGCAGTGAGAGACATGCAGGAACTGAGACTGACTGAGGGAGGAACAGATTCCGATTTTCCATCTCATGCCAATTTTTATGCTCACTCCAGTGTATATGCTTATAGAGTAGAAATGGCAGGTGGAATTATTGGTACTACTTAAATTGTGCTCGCCCTCTCTCTCTCTGTCTCTTTCTTTCCCTCTCTCTCTCTCTCTCTCTCTCTCCCCCCCTTTTTCTCCCTCTTTCTCTCTTTCACTCCTCTTTCCTTTTTTCTCTCCTTCTTTCTCTTCCTCTCTCTCCCCCTCCCCCTCTCCACCCCACCTGAATTTGTAGGAGTTAAATGTGTATATAATTTCCTTAGTAGTGTTTAACAAATAAAGGTTGATTGCTGAATGCATAAACTTGGAGGTACCGTAAAGGAAGGAATCTCCCCAAAGTCATCCAGCTAATGAGTAGTAGGACTAATGTCTTCTGACTCCATTTTTCTTTTCTTTTCTTTTTTTTTTTGCAGGGGGGCTAGGCAGTGGGGTTAAGTGACTTGCCCAGGGTCACACAGCTAGTAAGTTTTATATGTCTGAGGCTAGATTTGAACTCAGGTCCTCCTGAATCCAGGGCCGGTGCTCTATCGATTGTGCCACCAGCTGCCCCATTGTCTCCTGACTCCTCATCATTACCAGGCTACTGAAGGAACTTTGTACCAGACTAAGTTCCTCAGCTCTCTCACCTTTGTATCCACCCCTCCCAACAACCCCTTCCTCCTCCCATTCTAACCCTTCCTCTTCCCTGTCCTCAGGGGGAGGTTAATTGATTGACATAATAATTGCCCTGCCCAAGAATTTTTAGTGACTCTCTGTTGCCTCTAAGATAAAGTTGTAGCTCCTTAGCCCGGAGGAAGGTGCTCCCCTGTCTGACTCTTCATGCCATATCCTCCCAGGAGGCTTTCATGTACATTGTCCTCCCACCTGGAATGTCCTCTAGATCTCTATCTTTCAGTTTCCTTTTCTTCCTTTGAGGCTCACCGATGGTGTTACATTATCGCTGAATCACTTTATCAGCAAGCATTTATTAGGCACCTGTTTTTTCCCAGAATGGCAAAACTGAAAGAGATCCTGCTGTCTCTGAAGTCTTTCCTTGATAATACTTTCTCCTTTCCTCTCTCTCCTTAGAGCATTTTTTCTCCTTTTCCCCATTACTCTCTACTTTGTGTGATTCTTATCTGTGTATATGTGGTATCACCTTGAGAAGGGGACTTCCCTTGAAACTCCAGTTCTTGTCTTTGCATTCCTAACTTCTCATGATAGGCCCTTCGTAAATGTTTGAATTAATGAATTGTTCTGAAGCTGACCTTGACAAAGGACAGCTAGGTGATGTATTGGATACAACACCAAACCTGGAGTCAGGAAGACCTGAGTTTCAAATCCAGTCTCAGACATTTATTAGCTGTATGACCCTGGGCAAGTCACTTCACCCTGTTTGCCTCGGTTTCCTCATCTGGAAAATGAGCTCAAGAAGGAAATGGCAAACCACACCAGTATCTTTGCCAGGAAAACCCCAAATGGGGCCACAGAGAGCTGGAGACAACTGAAATGACTGAATAACAACAACAAAAAGACCTTGACAAATAAGGCTAACCCTAGAAAGATGTATGCCCCTAGAAGAAATCATGCTTTCTGGTTTTCCCTTCCTCTTCTTCCCCACTGATGTTTAAGTTGATTTTTGCCCATATAGAGGGCAGCATTGAAGGAGAAAAAAATCAGGGTTTAGATCAAGATTGGTTATGTAGAATGGAAAAAGGGCAATTTCAGTGCCTTTGTTGGATTGGGGGAAAGAACATCAGAAACATTATGTACTGATTCTATGTATGTGGATATTTATGTGTCTGTATGTATGTACATTGTATACACTGATGTCTGCAACACTAGTGTATGACTTTATAGGTCTGTTCTCTCCTCAGTGCAGGCGAGGGTGCAGGTGCAGGATGGTTTTGCTTACTATTTCTATTCCACAAATAGTTTCCTCATGATCTATTTCCTTCCTTTTTTTCTATTTCTTCCTTTCACTCCCAGAGGTAAGTCTTACCAGATTTGAAAGGAGGTGCCAGGAGAAAATGAAGCAGGTATAGGACAACCACTTCACAGTGGCTGTTTCCATTCTCATTTAACACGGGGATGTCAGAGGGAAGAGATACCAATGCCCCAGCATAATCATACTTCTCCTTCAGTGTATAGGAAAGTAATGGGTATAATTGCTTGGCTAAGAGGAAATGATTGATTGAAACTATGTTATTGGATTATTGGGGTGGAAGGAAAGAAAAGTAAGAAGAGAAAGGTAAGATTTTTGAACTCTGTGCCCCTTGACTGATTGCTCTCTTCATCCCGATAGATCAGTCCTAACTGACACCCCCCACCCCCCAGTAACTGAGAGTGGCTATGTTTGGTTCTTTTTGTAGGCTACCATTGTGAGGCCTATAATAATCCTGCAGATTTCTTCCTGGATGTCATTAATGGTGACTCTTCTGCTGTGCTGTTAAACAGAGAAGAAGGAACTAGTGAAGGTAAGGAAATGGAAAATGATCTGTGGGTTAATTAGATTCAGTTTCATATCCATACTAATTGGCTGAAGTCAAGAAATATGACAGAATAGGGCTGTGGATATAGAGCTTTGATGCAAAAGTGTGAACTAAGCAGTGAACATTTAATTTTGTAATCTGAATTTCAATAATAAGCTTTCTGGCTGGCTGATAAATAAGGCATTTACTGCTTATATTGTGCCCATGGAACATTAGTTTTGGTGATAATTTTATTGATGCTGTTAAACCTGAGTGTAAAGATTTATGAGTTTCCACATAGTTGATATCAAGGACAAATATTAAAATGAGGATTTGAATTCATCACAAAAAAGAAAATAAACAAAAAAGATTTGTTAAAACTTCTAAAATATAGTCACAAAACTTCAGTTCTAGTAACAACTATGGCTATTAAAGTAATGTTGCTAGCTTTTTTTCGAATGTGTGATTGCCTAAACTCATAAATATATTTGGGAGAAAGTCCAGTTAAATTATATTTTGTGAATTAAATATGAACTTTAAAATAATTTCCTTTTGTAAAGTTTTTTTTATCAGAATATTAGGAAAACTGAGTAATTATTGAGATCAGTTGTACTTTTAATAATTCAACTTTGATTTTTCTTTTTAATCCAAAGCTAAGAATATTGAAGACCCTTCACAGTGTAAGCCCATTATCGATGAATTAGCAGAGATTTATATGAATTCCACCTACTTCAAGGACCTTAAAGAAGAACTACATACATACTCTGTGGGGATTCAAAAGATCAAGATAACTCCTTTCAGGGAAACAAATTATATTACCTCCTTCTGTCATCAGCTCAAATGGCTTTGCAAACGGTCATTCAAAAATTTGCTGCGTAGCCCTCAGGCCTCCATAGCTCAGGTAAAGTTGCTCTACATCTTTTCAAACAAATTCTCCAAACAGATCTAGAGAATGAACCAAACTGAGTCCTCTTGGAGAAATCCATAAAAAGATCTTTAAGAGGAAAGACACGGTGAATCAATTGTCCAGTACAGGTTGGCTTAGGAAGAGTAACACAAGGATGTCTGTAATGCTGGGCAAAGGTCAGGTAACAAGCATGTAGAGCATTCCCATACCCACGGAAAGATAGTGCAGCAGGGTAAAAGAAGGTCCCAGACCCAATCCGGGGTACCTGCAGACCTATATTGGGCCATTATAATGTAGACAGGTTCAAACTGGCAGTTTTGTCCCCTGCTACCCAGCTCAGGGTCACAGATCCAGGCTAGAGTGAGAAGGGGACCTGCTGGCCCCCTGACAGTGGCATTCCCAAGTCAGAAGACCCTAGGTGGTGTTTGGAGGATGGAGGAAGTCCAGGAGCCAGCAGCAGCAGCCGTCAGCCACAAAGTAGGGTCTCACTTTCAACATATAGCCAAGCCTGCAGAGGAATGACTAGGTTTGATTGTGACAACTTTCACTGAAGGTTTTACAACTTGCCAGGATTAATGGACGTAGCAGTTAGCTTTTTTCTTTTTTGAAACTGGGTCTCCCTGTCTTGCCCAGGCTGAATAGAAGTACAGACGCTCGTGGGCCTGATCCTGCTGCTTAGCAGTGCAGAAGCTCTGACCTCCATTTCCAGCTTAGGTCACTTTGCCCTTCCATCGGCAGCCTGTTGGTTCTCCACCTACTGCCTCCCATGCTCCCCAGGGCTCCCCATATTGGTGCCAGACTCAGTAAGAATGCCAAGTTGGCTTTAGTTGTATTGTATCTCAGAAATCCCAAGCTCAAATGATCCACCACCCTCATAACCTAGCACTTTCTCAGAGTTCCTTATGTGTATTAAAGTTCCTTCCTTCACTGCTTAGTCATTTCCTTCCCAGGCTGATTTCAGTATGACCCTTCCACATATCCCCATCACATTATGGCTTTTACCACATCCCTCAGTAGTCTTTAAGGATTTTATACCATAAAGAAGCAGGCATATCATGATTATACTCCAAGGAAAAGATTTTTTTAAAAATTTCTTATTAATAAATTTATTTTTAGTTTTCAACATTTACTTCCATAAGATTTTGAGTTCCAAATTTTCACCCCATCTCGCCCCTCCCCCCCACCCCAAGATGGCATGCATTCTGAAAACCCCTTCCCCTAGTGTGCCTTCCCTTCTATCTCTTCCCCCTTCTCTTATCCCCTTCCCCTTCTGTTTTCCTGTAGGACGGGATAGATTTCTGTACCCCATTCGAGGAAAAGATTTTTTATGAGCACTGAGCAGTAAGATTCATTTTCAGATCCTTCACTTCGTGTTAACATACTATATAAAAAATTTTATCATTGTTCTTAGGGTATCTGTTTCTGGAACATAGAAAAGTATTACAGGCAGAATTTTCTTTTTTTTCTTTTTTTCTGGTGGGGCAGTTGCGGGCAAGTGACTTGCCCAGGGTCACACAGCTATTAAGGGTCAAGTATCTGAGGCTAGATTTGAACTCGGGTCCTCCTGACTCCAAGGCTGGAACTGTCTATCCACTGCACCACCTAGCTGCCCCAAGACAGAATTTTCTACCATGATTTCTGTCTTTCATCAGTATCACTTAAATTTACATAATACTTTACTTTTGACAGAGTACATTGCTCGTGAGTTAGTCTTCAGCATGATTCTCATTCCCATTTTTCAATTGAAGAAACTGGGTGTAGAAAAGTTAGACGTGACTTGTCTTATAGTCATGTAGTAAGTGGTAAGGCTGGAGCTGTGGTGATCTTCTGAAATGGGATCAGTACTGTTTCTCCATGCTGGGCTGCTTTCCTGGATCACCTGTAATGAACTGAAGTGGTTTTTATGTCCCTATCTCATAAAAGTGCCCTTTCCAGGCATATTGTTTTGTCTGACAGAATACTTTATAGGGGTTGTATTTATCTGTAGGTGAATGCTTGTTAGAGATGAATGAGAGATATTAGGAAAGAACCCAAATCTGCCCATCTTCCTGCCAATGCAGATTGCCAGGGAGAAAGCCACAGAGAGACAGAGATGGTAGCATGAAGCCCTCCTCCCCTGTGGGGGAAGGCTGGTTGAGAGCTGTCATGGCAGGGAAGGTGTAGGGTGAGGCACTGATCCCTCATGAGTGACAGGCAGGTCCCCAGCTAATACTCATGTCCATGTGGTACAGAATCCCTTATAAACATTTTTATGGGCACTTTCTTATCTTACATGCTAAGAATAGTAAGGAAATCCTGTTTTTACACTGGGATATCATAAGCAAGGTCACCTTCTAATTAACCTCAACCACTAGTTTCAAAATCCAAAGGGAAACTACTCATCTCTTTTCATTATTTAAAATCAGCTCCAGTCATTCCCATTCTCCTTATCCTGCTTATAGATCCCCCTGTCTGCTACATTTCCCACCCCTACCCAAGATATACCAAAAGTCTTAGTGCACTTTAAAGCTGGGACACCCTGTATTATCCTCTGGTTCCAAGACAGCATGGCACAGTAGATAGCCTGTCTTGGAGTTTAAAAAAAATTGTGGATTCACATCCTGCCTCTGGCAGAAAGCTCTGTGACCTCAGGAATGGAATTTAACCTCTGTGTGTCCCAGGCAGCTGTCTCAAATTGTAAGTTGCAGAGCAAGTGATGATTTGTACCGATGGAGGGAGTTTTCTTACTGAGTATCTCCTACACCAGTGAAATTGCAGACCCAGTCCAAAAGAGCCCATCAGCAAGGTTTTATTGAATGTTAGTATTCCATGTCCTTTATGAGTTGCTTGGTCTATGTTTTAGAAATGAAGAATGGTTCACACCCTTAAAAATCTTACAGGGCTGCTATGGCCAGTTTGGTGTTTGTTTTTGTTTTAATGAGAACTTTGTTTCTTGACTTTATTTTGTGAAGCTTCTAACTGAATTTATCTGGGCTTCTATTTCTCTAAGGTGTCAGACATTTAACTGAATTTATCTGGGCTTATATTTCCCTAGGGTATCAGACATTTTAAATACTATTGCCTTCCTCCCCTACATTCAGCTAACACTATATTGTTTCTATGTATGCTAACATTTATATATTGTCTCCCAATAGAATGTAGCCTCTTTGAATGCCTCAGTTTTATATTTGTTTCTCTTTCTCTTTAAAGACATTAAACAACATTTTAAATGTTTTTAGAGTGATTTTTGAGGGTGTCTAGATCTCTGATTTTATTGGTGCAGGAAACCTTTGGTAAGGATGCTGCTCCACCAGTGCAATTTATAGTCTGAGAAAATTGCCTGGGATACTGAGAGTTATTTGGGTAGATAACTTACCTGGAATCATACAATCTGTATGTGTCAGAAACAGGACTTTAGACCCAGGGCTTGCTGCATCTGAGGTAGGTTCCCTTTTACTACACCAAGCTTCCTGTTGGAATATGTCCCACCTTTTTATTTATTTATTAGATTTATTAAGGTAATACGGTTTACTCTCTGATTTTAAGTATGCATCAGTTTGGAGAAGAGCTAACATTTTCTCCTTGTTTTATAATGATTTTAATGCCAGTTAGTTACCAAATGTTTGTATAATTTTTTAAACTTCAGTTCTTAAATATATCGTATTTTTGTTTTTACTTCTAATCACAACATTCTTTCCTCTTTCCCACCCCTCCTTTCTTACGAAGGTAATTATCACAGCTTTCCTTGGATTGATTGTAGGTGCCATTTTCTTTGGACTAAAAGATGATCCCACTGGAATTCAGAACAGGTAAGTAACCCAGCCCCAGAATCTCTGTCAATAGACAGTAATAATTTTCAAGTATATAAAGGCTTAAATGCCATCCCTGAGTTGAAGGAAGCTGAGCCAGTAAACAGAATTATCATTAGAACTTGTGGTCAGTTTTCATCTCATTTGACTACTTCACTTGTGTGGATGGATTTTCCTATTTCTCCTTTTTTTCTGGTTGTTATATTGGACGGTAACTACCATTATTGTGGTTCTTAGCCAGTCTCTGTTAGGGCTAGTGTAAACATGCAAAATTGCATTGTAAGTTTATGTTGTAGAAAAGTGAGTACAGTGTTGTGCACATATTGCTGAAAACAGTTTTGTCTGTTTCTTCTCTGAATGGGAACTGTTGAGCTGCAACCACTATCCTTTGTAAGTTGTGTTTTTTCTGTTTTGTTTTTGCCATATGACACAAATAAAACATTATTTTCTGGCATTAGCACTTTTTATATATTGCCACCTTTTTTTCAAGTGGTGCCCAGATTTTTCTCTTAGTGTTAGCACAGCTTTGATGATTCTTCATTTTTCACCCTGGTCGTTTTGGAAATCACATGGGAGGATGATTGTGCTGGAATGCATAGTTTAGGATGGTCTGCTTTGCTTTGTTCTGTTGCATACTCAACTGTGAGCCTTTTCACTCTTCTGTTGTCCTCTGTTACCCCTCCTTTCGCCTCAGTTTGCCTCTTTTGTTCCCCCTTTTCTCTCCTTTGCCCTCTCTATTTGCCTCAACACTTCTCTATTGCTTTTCTTCTTCCATATACATCTCCCACTCTTGTGAACATATTTTGGCTTTTATATCCCTTGATTGCATTTCATTCCCCCCACTCTCTACCTGTGGAAGAAATTCTGGTTATTTGAGCTTGATATTTGTTTGGGTTCCAGATGAATAGGACTTTTCTGTGTTGTACAATTCTGGTTCGCTTGTTTGGCAATCACATAACCAATAACCTCAATTATCTGGAACACAGCTGAGACATAAGAAGCAAAAAAAGCACTTGAGGATCAGTCCAAAACAAATGTCCTCCTAGCCATGCTTGGAAGTGCTTGACTTATGGAAACAGTCCGTACCTGCTTTTCTCTTGTTTTGGATACAATCCTAGGAAGTTTGATTATTTTGTTTTCTGTTCCACACCAGATTCTAAGTGGGGGAATTAAGGAGTTCTTTAAGAACTCAAGAAAACCTAGTATTTCACTTTTGACAAACTACCATTCAGTCATTTTTTTAACATCACTGCATTAAGGTATATTGCAATAATACTCATTTATTTTACTAGCCCTGAGTAATCAAGAAAGAGCATGCTCTGTTTACAAAGTGGGGGTAATGTGTAGCATATTTTAGCAGGATTTGCATCTGAAACGTTTGAAAATGAAAAACAACTTTTGTCATATAAAGGGATACGTTTTATTACCTGGAAAATCTAATCTTATGAAGTATCTTCCAGATATTATATAAGTGAAATGTTACCATGATTAATGCCCAATTTTCTCAGTTTAGAATTGGAGCTACTGGGTGTTATAAATCCACTGAGAATAAAATCACAATGGGATAGGGACAATTTGGCTTCTACAGCATAAGTGGCCCCAGTGACATTGTGTTCTCACTAAGGCTTTAATTTATTATTAATTTATTTAAATATTGTTAATTTAATGTAATTTAATATAGCATAATTGATATGATATGATATGATATGATATGATATGATATGGCTTTTTGATGCCACACAAATGAATGGAAGAAAGTGATTATTAATGCCTAGAAGTCATATTTATTGTTTTTGTTATTTGCATAGAGAATCGTATCGCAAAAATTGGGTGATTTTTGAACAATTTCTCCTTTCTTTCACAGAGCCGGGGTACTCTTCTTCCTAACCAGCAACCAGTGTTTCAGCAGCATCAGTGCAGTCGAGCTTTTGGTTGTGGAAAAAAAGCTATTTATGTGAGTAAGCTCTTTCTGAGTAACAACCAGTGAGATTTCCCAGATGCATATTCTGGTGTTATTCTCTATTATTTCCCATAATGGATGAATGACAAAGCTTATATTTTTTTAAAATAAGTGCTTATTATTGTGATTAGTGTTGGGGGTACAGAAGGAAAGAAATATGGGGCAGTTCTTGATGGCTGTGTTGGGAAGAGGAGCCAAGACCATGGGCCTTGTGCCTCCCATCTCCTGCCGGATGCAGCACAGCCCCTGAGGGAAGGCGTCTTCATCTACTGCAAGCAGTGACTTCCACACGTACCAGCTCCTGTTCCAGCTTCAGCTTCTACCAGGTCTTCAGCTGTGATATGGGAAGCCTCAGGTGCAAACAGGAGCAGCTTTCCCTTTGACCTCAGGCCTTCCTTTCTGGTTGTACCTGTCCCTTGAGAGAGGAGGAAGAGGAAAGTTGATGAGGAACTGGACTTCTTTCTCTTGCCAGGCAGATTCAGCTTCCATCCCCTGCTATCCCTCTTCTTGCCTAATCTCCATCCTTCAGAGAGAAGGGGATAGTGAAGGAGAGCCTCTCATCTGATCATGTGACTGGATGCCTTCCATCTCATACTATACTTTCCTCCAGTCTGATCTCCAACGTCCTTTGGGAAGAGGAATGGTACCCTCCACTTGGTGATGAATATTCTCACACTTGAGCGTACCCTTCATACCGTTCAGTGATTCTGAACCTTGTTAGTCATCATCCACACCCAATTCCCCATTCCTCCACCACCTGATTCCTTATTTTCACCCCCATCAAATATCCCATTGCAGTTTCAATGAAACACCACCCTAACTTTGTACTGTGCCCTGTGAAATGCCGATTCCATAGGCAGCAAACTTTCTTAATCCTAAATCTTTTTCTCTCTCATTCCTTCCATCTATTGGCTGTTACTAAAACCAGGCTCCCTTAGGTAATGCAGCCACCCTGGCCACCATTTCAAGTATTAAATGCTCCTTCATCATTCTCTTTGGCTCACTGATCAAGGTGGAGAAGTTGGAATATTCCTTGCTCCCTATTGCCACTTCCAGGTTCCATTATTCAATAACCTCTCCTCCTTTGAGGTTCATGCTATTCATATCTACCACCCAATCAAAATCCTGGTAGTTATTGTCTGCATACCTCCAGGTCACTCCCTTTCCTTCCTCAATGAGTTAAGTACATGGCTCACAATTTTTCTCTTCTCCCCAGTTCCTGCCCTCCTACTAGGGAACTTAAGTATGTGTATTGACTCTCCCTCAAACACCCCAACCACTCAGTTCCTCAATCAGTGATCTCTTCATTGCCAAATCCAGTGGCCTTTTCTCAGTCTTCATTCTCCTTGACTTCTCTGCAGCCTTTGACACGGTTGATCACCCTCTCCTCTTTGGTACTCTCTTCTTTCTAGGTTTTTGGGATGTCTGGTTCTTGTCTATCTGACTGCTTCTAAGTCTCCTTTGCTGGATTGTTCTCTAGGTCATGCCTACAAATCACGAATGGCCCACGTGGTTTTGTCCTGGGCCTTCATCTCTTCTCCCTTGATACCACTTCGCATAGTCGTTTCGCCAGCTTCTTTGGATTTAATTACCATATTCTATGCAGATGATTCTCAAATTTGCCTATGCTGCTCCAAACTCTCTGCTGACCTCTACTCTCAAATCTCCAACTGCTTTTCAGACATCTTGAATTGGATGTCCAGTAGACATCTTAAACTCAACACATCCAAGATAGAACCCATCATCTTTCCCCCAAAACCTTCTCCACTGCCCACCTACCTTCCTTCTCCCAGTCCCTCAGGCTTGCAACCTAGGAATCATCCTCACTTTTTCTCACCTCGTTTCCAAATCTGTTGCCAAGGCCTTTCAGTTTTACCTGCAACATCTCTCGAATATGCCTCCTTTATCCCCTTAACCTGCCACCGCTCTGATGTTGGCCCGTATCACTTCAGGACTGGACTATTACAATAGCGTGCTGGGAGGTCTGCCTACTTCAACTCTCTCCTTACTCTAGTCGTCCTCCTACTCAGTAAACTCCAGTGACTCCCTACTGTCTCCAGGATTCCATACAAAATTCTTTGTTTGGCATTCAAAACCCTTTATAACCTAGCCTCCTTCTCCCTTTCCAGTCTTCTTATACCTTTCTTTCTGCCAGGTACTCTTCAGTCCAGTGACACTGGCCTCTTGGCTGTTCTCTGAACAAGATATTCCATTTCTTGACTTTGTGCATTTTCTCTGGCTGTCCCCCATGCCTGGTACACCCTCCCTCCTTAACCCTGCCTACTGTATTCCCTGGCTTTCTTTATGTCCATCCCAACTAAAATTCCATCTTTTACAGAAAGCCTTTTCCAACACTTCTTACATCTTCCCTTCTATTATTTCCTGTTTATTCTGTAGTATAACTTGTTTGTATATGTTTATTTGCACGTTGTCTTTCCCATTAGATTGTGAGCTCCTTGAGGGCAGGGACTGTCCTTTGCTTTTTTTTTAATCCCTATCCCTTAGCACAGTTCCTTGAACATGTAATAGGTGCTTAATAAATGTTTATTGATTAATTGATGTCTTCTGCTTGGGGGAGACATAATATTAGTTTTAGGGTCAATGGAAAGGAGCCTAATAGTCTTTAGGGTGCATTAGCTGGTCAGACGGCAATGTTAGAAGGTCAGGATGGCATAGTGATAGGGAAGATTTAAGGCCCAATACACCTTAGGGTGCAGTGGCAGGGCACATGGTAAGTACCAGTGGTCCTCCATCTTACCAGAAGGTTTGTAATTAGTGACTCCCTATTTATCCAGCCAGTGTACTTATCTCTAGCTCTGTGCACCCCTCAGGATGAAAGAAGAAGGTAAGAGGAATACCTTGGGTCAAAGGGGAATAGGAGCCTTGGGGCCTTTTTTGCAGGGATTAAAATGAGGAGGGAGGTCAGCATCCAGCCCGGATGGGGAAAAGGAACCTTGTCAGTAAGGGTAGTGGATAGGAGTCCTGCTCTGTTACACCCTCTGATGCCAGGTAGGAATGGTGCCTGGAGAAAGGAATGATTAATCTCTGAAATAGCCTTGGGGCAAAGGAAAAGGGTTCAACTGGAAGAGCTCATATCAGTGATGACCCACCTGGAAGGTTTCAGTGACCAGCCCCCTTTAGCTGCCAGTAGCCATCATCGGGCCATCTTTCTTCAAAAGTATTAAGTTTCATTGCTAGCTTATTTGAATCATATAAAATCAAAATAGTTCCAGATAAATTATTATTAAACTTCAGTATTTCTGATAGGCAAAATAAAAAATAAGAAATATATAGCAACCATAATTTTTTTAAAAATTGTATTTTATTGATGCCTTTTGTTTTTATGTTATATTAATTTCTAAATATATCTCTTCCGTATCAAGACACCCCTCATAACAGATTGAAAGAGGAAGAAAAAGAAGCCAGGTCAGCAAAACCAGCCACCACAAAGCCTCTGGCACAGGGTTTCTGTCACTTCCTCCCCCATCTCTGCAGTGAAGGGCATGAGCCACTTTGCTGAACTCTTTTTTGGCCTCAGTTTGGTCCTTATCATTCCCTCGAGTTCAATTTCACATCATTATTCTTTCAGTTTACACTGGGGTAGTGGGTTGTGCGTATTGTCCTGGTTCTTCATATTTCACTCAGGATGAATTCATGTAAGTCTTTATATGTTTCTTTGAATTCTTCATTATCATCATGTCTTATAACACGTTCTCTCCCATTACATTCATTATTTATTGAACCATTCAGGAAAGTGGGCACCTACTTTGCTTCCATTTCAAAAAATTCCTTCCATCCACTTCATAGAGTTCTCTTTCTTTAAGACAAAACGGGGCTGCCATTTTCTGCATGAAACTTTTGTTGATCCTCTCTTTCCAAAATACCTTGTTTTTAATACTTTCTTTATCTTTGTATTTATTCACTTTGTATTTATACTGTATATACTTGTCTATGTATTTATTCTCTCCTTCATTAGAATATAAACTTCTTCTGAGTAGGAAATGTTTTGTTTCTGTGTCCTTTTATCCTTCATACCTAGCCCGGTGCCTGGCACATAGTAGGCATTTAATAAATACTTGCTGATTAATATTGTGTTTTTAAATTAGTAACTCTGCAGTGGTTTTAGCCCTTAGTAGTTTAGAAAGTTATTTTTTTTCCCCAGCAAATAGATTAAAAACGAGTTATTTTTCATTCTCTGGATTTAGAGTTTGAAAGCAATTTAGAGGTCATCTGAACCAGTCCCCTTATTTTATGTTGAACAACTCGTGGGCCCCAATTTAAGTGAGTTATTCACAGTCACATAGTAGATAAGTAGTAGAACCAGGATTTAAATCCTTGTCTCTTGACTACAGATCCTTTATTCTTTTCATCAATATCACAGTGCCTCTAGGCTATCTGACTTTTTTTCTTAATACATAAGAATATTTTTTTCTTCTTTAATTGATACATTTTGTTTTGACACAGCCTGGATATTCCAGCAAGCACTCATACTTGCATCTTCAAGTGCTTACTCCAAAATAATTAAGCAAAAACACCTGTTAGAGGGATCCTACTTCTTGGATTTATTTGTTAGCAGAGAGGAAGGATCTGGGCTTTGACGTGAATAATTTGATACCAACATTGTCTGTTACTTCTGACGTCTTCATTTACGCAATTGTCATTGTATTTATTGCTCTTTTGGCTTTCCTTTCTAGAATTTCTTCTTGGATGGAAACCATAAAATAATTTCTCATTTTGAATATTAAATCTTCTAATTTGCTGTTTAAAGTCTGACAGTTTATCTTATGGAGCTCTTAAAACTCAAAAATTGTTAAGCTGTCCATTGTGGTATATATCTATATATCCATAACATTTGTTTTATTTTGTTTTTTGTTTTTTTTTAGACATGAGTATGTCAGTGGATACTATAGAGTTTCTTCATATTTTTTTTCGAAGTTGTTATCTGATTTACTACCCATGAGAATGTTGCCGAGCATCATATTCACTTGTATAACTTATTTTATGTTAGGTAAGTAACATGAAGAAAAGAGTTAAGTAAGCGGTTCAGTTTTGGATCTATTCCTGTCACCCATAATCAGCACGATGCTCAGCATATAGTAGGTGCTTGTTGATTGATTGAAATTATTTTTATATATTATCAATATGAAACTTTGATTCTCAAGATAAAAAGTCACTTTTTAAGCAGACCTACTTTGCAGTTTGGAGTCTCTCTTCAAGGGCCAGGATACTTTTCTTAAATGTTGGACAATTTTTTCCTCTAATAGCAAGAGCTTATTTATAAGAGTGTCTGAGCTAATGCTTAACACATTAAGCTGATGAATAGAGAAAGGTTAAATTTTGATATTTGATTTTTTTTTCTTTTTTTAAAATTTTATTAGTTTATTTTTAGTTTTCAGCATTCACTTCCATAGGCTTTTGAGTTTTAAATTTTGTCACCATCCCTCCCCACTTCCTTCTCCAAGATGGTCCGCAATCTGATACAGTAATATTTGATTTTTTTTTTTTTTGGCTAGGCAATGGGGTTAAGTGACTTGCCCAGGGTCACACAGCTAGTAAGTGTTATGTGTCTGAGGCTGGATTTGAACTCAGGTCCTCCTGAATCCACTATCCATTGTGCCACCTAGCTGCCCCTGATATTTCATTTTTTAAAAAAACCATTAAAGTGCTAGTTGTTCGGACTAGTTTGTCTATCAGGTAATTATGTGACCTGTTACTAGGTTTTGGCTCTTAGAGACTTGAGTCAGCCCAGTAGATATTAAAGCAGTAGTTAATAAAGTCATTTAATGAAGAACATGTTCTTCATTAAACAGAACAAATAACCCAGTTCAGTTAGGCATGCATTTATTAAGTGCATACTGTCTGCAAGATGTTTTCCTACATATAGGCGATAAAAAGCATCTTCATAATCATTATCTACTCCCCTAACATCTATAAACCAGCCGAGTAATAGGTCTTTTATTGCACTTAGTTAACAGCTCTGTGGCACACTGGATAGAGTGCTGGACCTGGAGTCAGGAAGACCCATCTTCCTGAGTTCAAATCTGGCCTCTGACACTTATGTAGTTGTTTGATCCTGGGCAAGGCCCTTAACCCTATTTACCTTAGTTTCCTCATCTGTAAAATGAGCTGGAGAAGGAATTGGCAAACCCTTCTACAGTATCTTTGACAAGAAAACCCCAAATGGGGTCACAGATATCAGACATGACTGAAAAATGACTCAACAAAGGCACTTAATAAATATTTGCTGATTGATAGGGACATTGTGTTTTAAATTAGTTACCATGTAGTGGTTTTAGCCTTTAGTCGTTTAGATAGCCACATTTAGACTTTTTGGTATCCCAGGCCTGCATTATGGGCCTTTCCCAGTTCCCAGGGGACTGGGGAATCAGGACTAAACCTTGTTGTGTCAAGAGCAGAAAAAAAAGTCATGAGGTATTTGTGGAAGCAGTTGGGAGATGCTTCACAATCACTTTCCTAATTCCTTGTTCGTCCTAGGAGTTTTAATTTTGCCCACTTTCATCTCTGGCACCTCTTTTTCAGGGGTGGAAATAGTTTACTGGATTAACTTTTTGTTAGTCCTTGAATTTTTTTATAGAGCATGTGGGAAGATTCAAAGAAAGATCACCTTGTGGTGTGTAAGCATATGGGTAAGAGAAGACAAACCCAAAAAGATCCATTATCAAAATAGCGTGTTATATTTGATAAAAACAGCCAATTGACAAGTGTTGTTTTAAATGCCTGTTATTAAGACATAAATGAAATAGAATGTAAGATGTCTGAAAGAAGAGGCAAAAGCCAGAAGAAAAATACATTTCTGCTTTGTGTCCCTGGCCCTCACACCGAGTAGGCAGAGTTGTTTCTGTTTGTCCTTTGTTCTGGAAGAGGACCATGACATCAGGAAGGTGATGCTGTGACTTGCAAGTGAATTGGATTTAAGTGAGGCAGGTCTGTGTAAGGTCACCGGCCTCACTTTCTCCTTCAGAGTTATCTGGGTCCAGTGGCAAGATAATTGATCAGGACAACTGGAGATGGCTCCTGTAGGCAGAGTCGGTACTTAATAAATGCTTGCTGATGGATTAGAAAGAGCTAGGAGATGTGGTTTACATCTCTGGCTTTTTTTTTACTATGTCATACTTAATCCTGGACAAACTGGTAAAACCCACGGACCCTCAGTGTCTTCCACTGTAAAGGAAGGGGATTCTATTAGATGATCTTCCATAATAATAAAAACTGACATTTATTCAACATTTATGATATCCTTGTGACATAAGATACTGTAGAGATCATCATTCCTGTTTTACAGATGAGAAAGGTGAGGCCCAGACTGATGAAGTGACTTACCCTTAGTCACTCAGCTAGTAAATGTGCCATTTATAAAGTTCCTGTCTGAGAATGAAGACAAGGATAGGAGGCTCTTGTTAATATATGATATGATATATGATATATGATATGATACGATATGATACAATACAATATGATATGATACAATATACCATCCACTATAATATAATACAATGTGATATAATATGTTATGATACAATACAATATGATATAATACGTTATAATATGATACAATACAATATGATACAACACATTACGACACAAAACAATATGATACAATGTTACGATATATGTTAGAATTACATCAGAATTATATTAATCATATGTTAATGTTAATATTTTATAATTATATATAATGTAATCAATTACAATCAATATATTATGATATATAACATCGTGTTATAATATTGTATTTTATAGTATTTTAGCTCAATATTTTATAATATCCTGTCTCAAAAACAGTGTTGCAAACAGCTGGATTGTCTTTCTGTTTTATTTTTTTGCATGCTAAGGACTGAAACAGGAGGTAGGGGCCTTCTTCATCATGATGTTAACTCTGATGATGGTTGCCTATACTGCCAGTTCCATGGCTCTGGCTATTGCTGCAGGACAGAGTGTGGTGTCTGTGGCCAATATCCTCATGACCATCTCATTTGTTTTCATGATGGTGAGTGAGAACCATTATTTCATGACTGTTGGGGGGGTCTTTTTTTTTTCCTGTTGTTTCTTCAGTTAGAACCTGAATCTTGAACAGCATCCTAGAGAGAAGGGGAAGATTGGCTCCTCCAGGGTCTATGTTAGAGCAGGCCACTCTCTCACTGCTCCTATCTCAAACTTTTTACTGTGGAGAATAGATATAATTAATGGTGTTAAGGACCTCAGCCTTAGAGAATTGCCTCTGACACGTGAGAAGTTAAGCATTGCATGGGATGTGACAGAGGACGCGGGGCTTGAACAAGGTTGTCTGGATTCCACGGTATTCCACCTGCCTTGCAGTGCCTTTACCAATGACCATTAAAAGGACAAAAATTCACCCTATTTCATGGAGGCAAGGTTTATCTAAGCAGTTCAGTTACATGCAGATGCCAAAATGCATAATGGATTGATTAGACTAGCTGGGGACAGGTATTGTCATCTCTTTTTTTTCCTTTTTTTTTGGTGTCACTTGGGGTTAAGTGACTTGCTCAGGGTCTCACAGCTAGTAAGTATCTGGGGTTGGATTAGAACTAGGTCCTCCTGGCTCCAGGGCTGGTGCTCTACCCATTGCACCACTTAGCAGTCCTGCTGTTAATCTTTAACAGCAAGTATTAGGACATGACCTGGTAAAGAGGAGATGGGGACCATTCCCTAGAAAATGACAGCTAAGTTTCTGAAGTCTGTTGCCTGTGACATTAGCCTAAAAACTGTGACTGTTCTTGCTTTTTGTAGATATTTTCAGGGTTGTTAGTAAATCTCAGAACTGTTGCGTCCTGGCTCTCCTGGCTCCAGTATTTCAGCATTCCTCGATATGGTTATACAGTAAGTATTTTTTTTTTTGTTGTTCTGTGTTATAACTGAGATCCTGGCCCTGATTATAGAAAATCTGAAACTAGGAAGCCATGCTGACAGCAAATCAGAATCACCTTCTGTTCTCCATGGAATTAGACACTTCTCTATTTACATTTTTGTGAGATTCATGTTAAGGAGGTGAGAAGCTGAAAACTAAAGAGACCCATAGCCAGTGCTTCTTTGCCTTATGGAACTTGCTCCTACTGATTGTCATGGTGGAAAAGTTGGGTTTGTTGCTTTTCAATCCTACAAAGGCTGGGAAGCCCAGTGTATTTTAAAATCAATACTTATGGATTAAAGAAAAAGGAAGAAGAACTACATTGCAAAAATATTTATAGCAACTCTTTTTGTGGTGGTAAAGAATTGGAAATTGAGGGGATGCCCATCAACTGGGGAATGGCTGAACAAGTTGTGATATGTGATTGTGACAGAATCCTGCTGTGCCATGAGAAATGATGAGGAGGATGGTTTCAGAAAAACCTGGGGAGACTTATATGAACTGATGCAAAGAGAAACAAGGAGAACAAGGAGAACATTTAAAAACATTTTTAAAAAATTTCTTTCATTAAATATTTCCCCTATACATTTTAAAACATTTTCAAATTCATTTTTTAAAATTTGAATTCCAAATTCTCTCCTTCTCTTCCACCCCTCCCCCACCCATTGAGAAGGCAGACAGTAAAGATATCAAGTATACATATGAAGTCAGGTGTCACATTTATATATTAGCCATGCTGCAAAAGAAAACACACATAGAAAAAGAAAAATACAATGCAAAAAGTATGCCTTATTGAATATAATTTTATTGCATTATGGTCTGAAAGGGGTACATTTAATATTTCTGCTTTTCTGCATTTGTTTGTGAAGCTTTTATGTTTTAACTGTCAGTTTTTGTGAAAGTGCCATGTACAGCTAAGGAAAAAGGTCTACTCCTTTCTATTCCCATTCATTTTTCTATAGAGATCTATCATTTCTCACTTTTCTAAAATTCTGTTCATCTCCTTAACTTAATTCTTGTTTATTTTATGGTTATTAGATTTCTCTAGCTCTGAGAGGGGCAAGTTGACATCTTCCACTAGTATATTTTTAGTGTATTTTTCCTCCTGGAAACTTTTCTTTTAAGAATTTGGATGTTATACTGTTTGGTGTATATAAATTTAGTGTTGATAGTGCCTCATTGTCTATGGTGCCTTTTAGCAAAATGTAGTTTCCTTGCTAATTTCTTTGAATTAGAACTATTTTTTCCTTATGCTTTCTTTGAGATCATGATCGCTACCTTTGCTTTTTTTAACTCAGAGGCTAAAGCATAATAGATTCTACTCCAGCCTTTTATTTTAACTCTATGTATGTCTTTGTGTTTCAAGTGTGTTTCTTGCAAAAAAAAAAAAACACACAAAAAACAAAACACATATCATTGGATTCTGTTTTCTAATCCATTCTGCTCTCTGCTTCTGTTTTATGGGTGAATTTAATCCATTCACAGTTATGATTGCTATCTCTGCATTTCCCTTCATCCTGTTTTTTTCTGTTTATCTTTCTGTCTTTCTTTTTATCCTGTCCCTCCTCTAAAGTTTGTGTTGCCTCTGACCACTGGCTTCCTTTATCCATTCTTCCTTTTGTCACCCCCTCCTTTCTCTTACTATCTTCCCCTCCTCTTCCCTGTTGGGCAAGATGGATTTCTGTACTCAGTTGAGTATGTATATATATTTTGCCCTTATTGAACCAATTTAGATGAAAGTGAGATTCAAATGTTGACCGCCATTTTCCCCTCCACTGTGAAAATTCTTCTGTGTTCCTCTTTTATATAATTTTCCCCATTCTTCCTCTCCCTTCTCCCTTCCCCTAGCACATCCCTCTTTCCCCCTCCATTTTTTTTTTTTGAGATCATCCCAACATAATTGATTCGCTTCTGTGCACCCTTGTCCGGGTAGGGTCCTTCTAACTGCCCTAAAAATGGTAAGGTTCTTAAAAGTTGCATGTATCTATATGGGAATGTAAAAGGTTTAGCCTTATTAAGTCTCTTTGTCTTTCATGTTTAACTTTTTATGCTTCTCTAGAATCTTCTAGTTGTCAAATTTTCTATTTTGCTCTGATCTTTTCATTAGGAATGCTTGAAAGTCCTTTATTTCATTAAATATCATTTTTCCCCTGAATAATTGTACTCATTTTTGCTGGATAGGTGATTCTTGATCATAATCCTAGCTCCTTTGCCTTCCAGAATGTCATATTCCAAGCCCTCTGATCTTTAAGGTAGAAGCTGCAAAATCTTGTGTTTTCCTGACTGTGACGTGTTTTCCTGACTGAGGCCACGATATTTGAACTGTTTCTTTCTGGCTGCGTACACTATTTTCTCCTTGACCTGGGAGCTCTGGAATTTGGCTCTGATATTCTTGGGAGCTTTCATTGTGGGATCTCTTTCAGGAGGTGATTGGTGGATTCTTTCAGTTTCTGTTTTACCTTGTGCTAGTATTAGGTGCAGCACTGGATGATTTTGGGCAACTCCATTGCCTGTAGCCACTTCTACGGCAGAGTTTAAGAGCAGAGTCACAAGGAAGCAGGGGCCCTGAGGAGCAGTATCACTGCTCCTGTATAAACTGCCTAGATTAACAGGAGAGGAAATAGAATATCTAGAGAAACCTTTTTTTAGAAAAAGAAATTGAACAGGCCATAAATGACCTTCCTAAGAAAAAAGCATCAGACCCCAGATGGATTTACAAATGAATTCCACCAGACATTTAAAGATCCACTAATTCCAACATTAAATTAATTATTTGAAATAATAGGCAAAGAAGGAATTCTACCAACTCCTTTTATGAAACACATATGATACTAAACCAGGAAGAGCAAAAACAGAAAGAAAATCATAAATCAGTTTCATTAATGAATATGGATACAAAGAGCCTAAATAAAATACTAGCTAGAAGGATACAATAATATATCACAAAAATTATACATTGTGACCAAGTGGGATTTATACCAGGCATGCAAGGATGCTTTAATATATGAAGAAAAACTATTAACATAATTGATTATATCAGGAACAGAAGTAACAAAAATCGTATGATTGTATCAATAGATGGGAAAAAAGCTTTTGACAAAGTACAACACTCATTCCTAATAAAAACACTTTAACGCATAGGTGTAAAGGGATTTTTCCTTAAAATGATAAGCATCTAACTTAAAAGCATCAGCAAGCATTATTTATAATGGGGATAAACTAGAAGCCTTCCTAATAACTGGGAAGGAAATGAAGATGCCCATTATCACCAATAATGTTCGATATTGTATTAGAAATGCTAGCAATAGCAATAAGATAAGAAAAAAAGATTGAAGGAATCAGAATGGGCAGTGAGGTAACAAAACTATCTTTTTGCAGTTGAGATGGTGATATATCTGGAAAATCCTAGGGATTCAACTGAAAAGCTAGTTGAAACACTTAATTTTAGCAAAATAGGAAGATATAAAATAAACCCACAAAAATTATCAGCATTTCTATGTATCACCAACAAAATCCGGCAAGAAGGGGTAGTAAGATTTTAAAATTTAAAATAATTATAGAGAGCATAAAATATCTGGAACATACCTGCCAAGACAAACACAGGAACTTCATGGATATAATTATAAAACACTATGCAAATAAAATCAGTTTTAAATAATTGGAGAAATATTAGTTGTTCATGAGTGGGCAGAACTAATATAATAAAAATGACAATTCTACCTAATCTAGTTATTCAATGCCATATGTTATCAAGCTTGGAAAAAATAATAACAAAATTCATTTGAAAAAACAAAAAGTGAAGAATATAAGAGGAATTAATGAAAAAAAATGTGAAGGAAAGTGGTCTAGCAGTACCAGATCTTAAACTATATTATAAAGTAGTAATTATCAAAACTATCTAGTACTGGCTAAGAAATAGAAATGTGGATCAGTGGTACAGAGTAACATACAATACAGGGTACTAAATGATTAACTTTGGGATAAGAATTCACTATTTGGTAAAAATTGTTGGGAAAATTAGAAAGCATTATGTCAAAAACTAGCTATAGACTAATATCTTAGACCATTTAGCAAGATGATGGCAAAATGAATACATGACTTAGGTATAAAGGGAGATATCCTAAGTAAATTAGAAGAACATGGGACATATTAACTATCAGACTTATAAATAGAAGAATTTATGAATAAACAGGAGATATAGAATAGTAAGGTGTGAAATGAATAATTTTGATTACATTAAATCAAAAAAGTTTTGTACAAATAAAACCAATGTAGCCAAGATTAGAAGGAAAGCAGAAAATTGGGGATTTGTAGACAGTGTCTCAGGCAAAGGTCTTATGTTTCAAATATATGAAGAACTTTGTCAAATTTGTAAGACTGTAAGTCATTCCCCAAAGTTATATGTAGTCATATAAAAAAATGCTCTAAATCACTATTGATTAGAGAGATGTAAATTAAAACATTGAGATAGCATCTCATATCTCTCAGATTGGCTAAAGTGATTGAAGGGGAAAATGACAAATATTGGAGGGGATGGGGAAAAATTAGAACACAGATACACAGTTGGCGGGACTGTGAACTGTTTAAACATTTTGGAGATCAATCTGGAATTATGCCCGAAGAGTTAGAAACCTGTGTATACCCTTTGACCCAACTGTACCACTATTAAGTCTGTTTCCCAATATGATCAAGGAAAAAGTAAAAAAAAAATTTATGTTCTAAAATATTTATAGTAGCTCTCTTTGTGTTGGCAAAGAACTGGAAATTGAGGGGATACAAATCAGTTAGGGAACGGCTAAACAAGCTATGGTATATGACTGTGATGGAATACTCCTGTGCTATAAGAAATGATGTGAAAGTTGATTTTAGAAAAACATGGAAAAACTTGTGTGAAATAATGAAGAATAAAATGAGCACATCTAAAAGAACATTGGATACAGTAACAGCAATATTGTGTGAAGAATAACTATGAACAACTAAGCTATTCTCAGTATTATAAATATTCAGATTAACTACAAAGAGTCTATGAAGGAAGATGCTATCCACTTGTAGAGATAGAATTGATCAATAGAAGTATACATAGTATGGTTTTATGTGTGTGTGTGTGTGTGTGTGTGTGTGTGTAATGGTAGCCTTCTTTAGTGCAAGGTTGGGAAAAGGGAAGGGAACAGCTTGTAACTTAAAGTATAACAAAAATACATAAAATTTTTTAAATGAATGTTAAAATAAAAGAAAAAATACTCATAGTTTAAAAACATGGAGACTCTGAAGATAATAATTTGGAAATGTTGAATATTAAGACTATTTTAACCATTTCTTTTTCTGATGTCATAGGCTCTGCAACATAATGAATTTCTCGGCCTAAACTTTTGTCCCACTCACAACACAACAGTTCCAGACAATACCTGTGAATATGCTGTGTAAGTGTCTGTGCTAATTGCCATTATAGCTCTTTTTTCCAAAGTCTAAATCTCATCTAGGTTTTATTAGTAAAAAAAAAGTTTCCTTTTTTTTGTTCACTTCAGTGAGGTTTAATTTTTTAAGGTCATTGTATTTGATTAAATAATTTGTAGCATATGATATTTATTGATTACTCATTATTGATTCTAGTATTTTAGTTATGTAAAGGACATACAGGCAAACCAGATACTACTTTCTAGCAGTTAATTCACCAATCAGAAGAGATGGCAATAGCAACTCAGGGTATTGAGTCAAAAATTGCTTGCTGACAATGCTGACCTAGCATACTGATGCATGAACTGATCGATCTTTCAGCATGCATTTTTTAAGCACCTACTTTTGCTAAACAAAAGAGAAAGAGTCCCTAAGAGCATGGAGATGATATAATAATAGCTGATATTTCGATAGCACCTAGCACTTTGCTAAATGCTTTACAGTTATTACCTCATTGGATCCTGGCACCAAACCCTGCAGGGTAGGTGCTGTTATTATTCCCATTTTTCCAATGAGGAAACTGAGGCAAATAGAGGTTCATTGACTTGCTGAGGGTCACATAGCTAGTAATTGTCTTAGGCTTGATTTGAGTTCAGTTCTCCCTGACTCCAGTCCCAGCGCTCTATCAGTTGTCCCACCTAGCTGCACACGTATAAGTATACACACAATAAATATAAAATAATTGCTTGGGGCACAGGAGCACCTGGGAGAATCTGAGAAGATTTCCTACAGGAGATGATGTAATTGATGCAGAAGATCTTGGTTTGAAATGTGCTGCGTGGTTGAGCTATTCACTTAAGAGTTTCTGAGTCTTGTTTATTCATCCGTGAGATTCAGATAATCCTTCAAGGTTAGTTGTGAGGATTAAATAAGAAAATATGTGTAAAATTTTACAAATGACAAACATTAGGTTAGTGTGAGATTTTTTTTTTAATTATCATCTCATCTCTGTTGGACATGGACCCTTGAAAGTTCTTGTTCATGTACATGGTGACTTGAGTTTTTATAACTTGCTGTGTAGAGAAGAACAGTATTGTATATTTGTAATTAAAGGGATGTAAAACCCAAATGCACCAATAAAAAATTAAAATAAAAACATTTTAGAAGGACAGTGAAATGTGGAGGGCAAAATATTTAGAGCTAAAAGGGTTATTAGAGATTAACTCTTCTCATGTGGACATATTGATATGGCCAGCTTTCCAGAAAGTATGATTTTAATGCATTTGTAGAAATTCAGTTTTGGAAGAGAAAGTGAGGGAAGTATGGGGAGAAAAGACTATGTTTGTAATTGTCTTTGAAAATATTTACATTGATCCAGCATGGTGACACATACCTGTAATCCATGTTACTGAAGAGGCTGAAGCTGGTAGATCTCTTGAGCTCAGGTGTTCTGAGCTGTAGTGGTGGAGCCAATGAGGTGTTCCCACTAAGTTTAGCTTCAATATGGTGAACCCCTGAGACTGGGGTGGATGGATGGGGAACTGGTGAACTGGCCCAGGTTGGGGTAGGTGCAGTATTCTGTGCCTGTCCACTGTGATTTTAGGCCTATGAGTGGCTACTGTTCAAACAGCTTAGGTAATATAGGGAGACCTAGTCTTCCAAAACAAAAAATACATTGGCTAATTTTCACCCTTGGTTAAGTTTTTTAACTTTCTTAGTGCATAATTCTACTAGATCAGGGGAAACTTGATTAAAAAAAATTTTAGTTTCTCAAAAATAAAACATTGTGTTCTACAGTTTGCTAGTTGAAGGCTAAGTTATTATAAACACAGAATCATTGGAGTTTTATTATTTGAGTGACACCGGGCATTTTCTCAGGTTATCATTTGAGTGGGTATTGATTCTTATTGGCTTCACTGACCTTGCTGTGTGTGTTAAGCAGTGATGAAGCCAAAGGCATTGCTGCCAAGGTGACTTAAAGCCTTTTCCTGTTGATGTTGGGTTTTAGGTGTTCTGGGGAAGACCATTTGACAAACCAAGGCATTGACCTGTCTCCTTGGGGTTTGTGGCAGAACCACGTTGCCCTAGCCTGCATGATGATCATCTTCCTTACCATTGCCTACCTGAAACTGTTTTTTCTGAAGAAGTTTTCATAAAACATTTTGTCAGATATGATGTGATTCAGTCTCACAAAACATTTTTAATTATTGTAAAATATTCATTATTTGAGCTTTTGTTGTTGAAGAATTACTCCCAGGTAAATTGGATTTAATTTTACTGTGATTAACTACTATGTCTACGCAGCTCATGATCACTATCAAGCTGTTGTAGAAATTAGGTTTGCAAAATACTAATATCCAAAAGAAACAGCAACATAAGCTAATGATATTGTATATACTTCTCAGTTTATACTCAGTAAGTTCATAGAAAAGACACTATGTGTAACTCATTGATCTGGCACTGATTATTAAACGAAAAGTAATAAGTATTTACACTACTGTAATATGAACTCTGAAATGTCTTGGGGCATTGGGTTGTATATTTTGGACTTATCATGACAGTGGACCAAAATTACTGCTCTTTAATAAACTTATTAAACAAGAATTTCCTTGATTTTTTTTCTGGAGCAATAACATCTAAAGAATCTGTATGAAAGAAGTTGCATTGTGGAAAGAAATTGGGATCAATAGTAGAAGAATGAAGATTCTCGCTCTACTACTTATTAGTTGTGTGAATGACCTGTAATCAAGCATTTATTAAACACCTGTTATAAGTCTGGCATTGTGCCAGGTGCTGTGGATACAAAGATAACATTGTGTTCAATGAATTTAAATTCTATTGAGTGGGGAGGTGAGGGGGAGGGAACAGTATGTGCACATGGGAATAGATGTAAGATAAAAGTATGTTTTCAGGTGGGGAGACACCAGCAACTGGGGAGACATAGCCTCCTGAGGGAGGTGGTGTTTGTGCCTAGAAGGATAAAGTTAGGGATTCTAAAAGGTGAGGAGGAAGAAGTGTATTTCAGATTTGAGGGATGGCTAGTAATTAGGCTAGTAATTTAGTAATGTGTGAGATCACAAAACCAGTTTGGCTAAACTGTGGAGTATGTGAAGAGAAATAGTACTGTTATATGCTGTTGTATACAACCATGTCAGGACCTCAGTTAGGTGTAAAATGAAGGGAGTGAGACTAGTTTAGTGGGTCTCAACTTTCCTGAGAACATTATCAAAGAGTTTTTGGCCTCGTTATGGTATTAATTGTACTATTAGTATCAGTTAACTAAAAAATTTTATAACAAAAGGTTGCAGTGTATTCATTAATGCTTTTGAGTGGATTTATTTTATTAATCAGGACTATATATATATATATATATGTATATTTTAAAGGCATTCAGTTTACAAAAGGAAATGTTTCTATATATTCTGAATCTTTAATGAGCAGATCCTTTACCACAACTGTGGGGTCCACAAATTGGAGAAGCGCTACCTAGATGATGAAAATCTGTTACTTCTAGCTGTGGAAACTTGAATTTCAAATAAGACCTTAAGGTCCCATCTAGTCTTAAGGATTTGATGATCCTGAGATACTCTATGTGTCCTGTCATTCCCTCCACCCCAACTATTGTCCAACCTCTATCTTTTCCTTTCATACTAGTCTCTCAGTAGTCATTGTCAGAAGAAACTGAGAAATCATGAAATCATAAAATTTCAGAGTTAAAAAGGCTCTCAGAAACCATCTTGGTTCTAGGTCAATCAAAAAAGGTTTCCCTTTCCAATATAAGATTGAGAGCTGGGAAGGACCTCAGTGCCATCTCTGTTCTTACCCAGATCATTGACATACATGTTACAAAGTACAGGTTCCTACTTTTGAAATGATGACTTTGGTCAGCAAAAAGATGGAGGACTAAACATTTTCCCTGATACCCACAACCTTTCATATCTCTCCAAAATAGAAATTATGAGCCCAAAATAGAGCAGCTTAAACTGTATCCAGGGTCTAGGACAGAGGTTCCCAAACTTATTTGATCTGCTGCTCCCTTTAAAAAAAAAAATACTCAGCATCTTCCTAGAAATCTACTTTCTTTAACCCTTTAACTTTTAAAAAAAAATCTGTCCTTTAAAAAATATAGAGTATTTCTTTTTTAAAATGATGCATCTTAAATTTAATAATAATTATAAATTTGTAGGTTTTTTGCTGCATTGAAATTTTGATGATGCGATATTGAGTCATGTAACTGTATAGTATCATATTGTAAACAAGTAATTACAAGCACATATTCCTGACAGTGCATGCTGGACTTCCTGACAGTGTGTGACATACTTGCCTGCCAACACTTGCTTGTTAAGACCTGTCAGCAGACTTGACCACTACTTGGTTATAACTTATATTTTGTGTGTTTATTTGGGAAATAATGTAATCACTACCACTTTAACTCTGTTACACAATAGATGAAACATGTATGAATAGTTTTTCAAAATTTTCTTCTCTTATGCTTCTGTTGCCCCCTTATTCTTCTTCAATGCCCCCTCCAATTGAGACTGAGGATACTACTGCTCCCCCCCCGATCATTCCGTGCCCCCAAGGGGTATTGCCTACTTTGGGAACATATGGGGACATCCAGAATCTAAAAGAAGTTAAAAAAAAAAACCCTGAATTTGGATGCCTACTGATCCTGAGCTTACTCAGCACCCTTCTCCCATCTCCCACACTACTGGCAGTGAGGTTGCACTAGCAGGCTCAAGGACATGACAGGCATATAATAACCCACCCCCACAACCAAGTCCTTCCATCTTTCCAGTGCCATGGAATAACTCTAGTTGTGGAAGTTTACTTAGGCCATGACACCCATGGAGGCTGCAGCCCTTCAGGAGCAAATGCCTGCTGGGAACTATAACCCCAGAGTCTTGCAGTACTGGTGCTGACTCAAAAATTTTAAACAAAATCCTATCACACAAACTACAGTGATTTAGCCAAGAAATCATGATGACCAAGTGGAATAAATATCAATAATACAAGAATGTCTCAACATTAGGAAAATAACAATCGTATTAAAAATGAAAACATCTGAAACAAGTTATCTTGACAGATGCAGAAAAGTCTGACAAAGTACAACACTTTTATGCTAAAAACCGTACAAGTAGAGGCATAGAGATATCTTTTAAAAAATATAAAAAGCTTTCCAATAAGATCAGGGGTGAAACAAGGATGTCCATTATCACCATTATTCAATATGGTACTGGAAACGTTAGCTTTAGCAAGGAGAAAAAGAAATTAAACGTATTAGAATAGGCAAAGAAGAAATAAAGCTATTTGCAGATGGCAGATATGATGATATACTTAGAGAATCAAGTAAAAAACTACTTGACATAATAAACAATTTTAGCAGAGTTGCAGGCTATAAAATAAACCTACATAAATCATCAGCGTTACTATATATTACTAACAAAGCCTAACAGCAGGAGATAGAGAAATTCCATGTAAAGTTACTGTACACATTATAAAGTATTTAGGAGTCTACCTGCCAAAACAAACCTAGGAACTATATGAACACAATTACAAAACACTTTTCACACAAAACGTCAGATCTAAATAATTGGAAAAATATCAGTTGCTCATGGGTAGGCTGAGCTAATATAATAAAAATGACAATTCTACCTAAATTAATTTACTTATTCAGTTCCATACCAAACTACCAAAAAAAATAGAGCTAGAAAAAAGTAAGATGCATTGGAAAAACAAAAGATCCAGAATAATCAAGGGAACTAATGAAAAGAAATGCTAGGGAAGGTGGCCTAGCCATACCAGATCTTAAATTGTATTAGAAAGCAGCAATCATCAAAACTACTTGGTACTGGCCAAGAAATAAGAGTGGTGGATCAATGAAATAGGTTAGGTACACAAGACACAGTAGTCAATGACTATAATAATCTACCGTTTAATGAACCCAAAGACCCCAGCTTCTGGGATAAGAACTCACTATTTGATAAGAACTACTGGGAAAACTGGAAAAGAGTATGGCAGAGACTAGGCAAAATCTTACACCATATACCAAAATAAAGTCAAAATGGGTCCACGATTTAGATATAAAGGCTGATACTATAAGGAAACTAGGAGAGCAAGCAATACTTTACCTGTCAGGTTTATGGAGAACAGAAGAATTTATGACCAAACAGGAGATAGAGAACATTATGAAACGCAAAATGGATAATTTTGATTATATTAAATTGAAAAGTTTTTGCACAAAGCCAATGCAACCAAGATTAGGAGGGAAGCAGAAAACTGGGAAAGAATTTTTACAAACAGTGTCTCAGATAAGGGCCTCATCTGTGAAATATATAGAGAACTAAGTCAAATTTATAAGAACACAAGTTATCCCCCAATTGATAAATGATCAAAGGATATGAACAGGCAGTTCTCAGATGAAGAAATTAAAGCAATCTATAGTGGTATGAAAAAATGCTCTAAATCACTATTAATTAGAGAAATGCAAATCAAAATGACTTTGAGGTACCAAATCACACATCAGAATGGCCAACATGACAAAACAGGAAAATGATAAATGTTGGAGAAGATGTGGGAAAATTGGAACACTAATGCATTGCTGGTGGAGTTATGAACTGATCCAACCCCAAAGGGCTATAAAATTGTGCATGCCCTTTGACCCCACAATACCACTTCTGGGTCTGTATCCCAAGGAGATAATAAAAATGGGAAAAGGACCCACATGTACAAAACTATTTATAGCAACTCTTTCTGTTGTGGCAAAGAATTGGAAATTGAGGGGATGTCCATCAATTGGGGAATGACCGAACATCTTGTAGTATATGAATGTAATGGAATACTATTGTGCTATAAGAAATGTTGAGCAAGCAGACTTCAGAAAAACATGGAAATACTTGTATGGACTGATGCTGAGCAAAGTGAGCAGAACCAGGAGAATGTCAGTAACAGCCACATTGTGCGATGACTAACCTTGACAGACTTAGCTCTTCTCAACAATGCAAGGATCTAAGACATCTCCGAAGGTCTCATGATGGAAAAATGCTGTCCACCTCCAGAGAAAGAACTATGGAGTCTGAATGCCGATTGAAGCATACTATTTGCTCTTTTTTTCTCCTTCTGTTTTGTTTCTTCTTTCTTATGGTTCCTCCTGTTGGTTCTAATTCTTCTTTACAACATGACTAATGGAAGAATACATATAATAGGAATGTAAATGTAGAGCCTATATCAGATTGCACACCGTCTTGGGGGGAGAGAGAAAATTTAAAACTCAAAAGCTTATGGCAGTGAATGTTGCAAACTAAAAATCAATTTTTAAAAATTAAAAAAATATAAAAAGCATTTCTCTCAAATGTAAAGCAAGCATCATATTTAATATGGATATACTAGAACCTTTTCTAGTAGAGAAGTGAAGCAAGGATACCTTCTCTCCCCGCTGTTTAATATAATTCTGGAAATGCTAGCAATAAGATAAGAGAACGAAAGGAAAGGAATAAAGATAGTTAAAGAGGAGATGAAGCTACCTCTGTTAGGGAATGATAATGATTATTTTCGCAGAAAATCCAAGGGAATCAGCAGAGATGCTAATTGAGACAATAGTCTCA